CATTAAATTGTATTTTTATTTATTCCACGGATTCTTTCAAAGTCTGAAAATTAATTCTTCAGTTGAGAGCAAAACTAAACAATTTTCTCAACACTTAACTATTTATAGCAATGTTAGAAAAACAACAAAAATTATATATTATGATTGCAGCTAATTGCATTTGTACTAGCTTGTTCTTTTTATTGTGCTACAAATGTAATATATAGCATTATGACAAGGCATCTTTTTTAATCCTATTGGTAATCAAATGATTGGTTTAATATATCAATATTAAACATTTTTATATTATATTAATGATAACTGTTAAATACAGTGCTTAACACTATTGCAGTATTATAATAAATTTATAGTAATTAAATATAATGAATAATTTTAGCACCAATTTGAATCTAATGTTGAATTAATTTAACAATATTCAAAGTGAACATTTAAATTACATGTTTTATATTAAAATAAGGAAACAATGTTAAATACAAAATATTCAATATACTGTATCAAAAAATATTGTTTAACTTTTAATCCATTAGTAGTTTAGGCAATATTGTTAAGTAAGTGAATACTACAATACTTATCACAAAAAAGTTATCAATTGATTATTGATTTATTGATTTCACTAGACTTTCATTGTTTTGCATTTTATTCATTGAATTATTTTGCTTTTTTAGTCAGATTTCTATATCGAAGATAATAATAATAATAATGTGACACACATTCAAAAAGTGAAAAATAGTTTTCATCGAATAACTTTGCGTTCATTACATCGAAAAAGTCGATCCCTAAGAACATTCAGATCCGGTGCTCAAAGTCTTCCTATACTTTCGGATAATGAAGACCTCAATAGAGAGCTCTTAAATAACGACGCGTCCGGTGATGATGACAGTGATAACGGCGCTGAAGACATCGACCTGAGCTCATTCAACACTACTGTGCGCTCAGATTTGGATTCTCCCGGATTAACGAATGGTAATAAACTTTGTCTCCAAAACCATGTTTTATATTTCATATCGGATTTTATTTCATACACATTGACTCAATCTTTGAAATATGAGATTTCAAATTAGATTTTCTTATATTTTTTACATTTCATACATAAGTACCAGAAAATAAACTTCTAAAACAACTATTATTTGTGTAAATCATTTGTTCTGCAGATTCTGTATTACAGAATATATTTCAAAATTTGCTAAAACAACCGTTAATTTAGATTTGGTTGACTCCCTATTTTAGAATAACTATTGCTATTAAAAATAATTAACCAATGATTTAATTGCGAATTGTTTGCTATGAAATGACAAATAATATTACAATATGATTAAACTTTAAATATCTTTTCAATCAAAATACAGTCTATCCCTCTTATAACAAAATTGATTGATGAGATAAAATGTTGTTGCGTACACATTAATATATCACTATTGTTTATGATGAAATAGAGAAGCATAAATTATAATTCAATTTGGTACATAATTCGCAAATACATTAGTTTAATTTTATATAAAATCATAATTAAACCTTTTACTAAAGCGTGGTTTCTATGTTTAACAATTGGTCACATACTGTAGATTCATAGTAAGTAGATATGATTATGCAAACTATGATTTGTTAGAAATACTAAAATTAAAAATTAATATATTCTGGTATCAATGAAAATACATTTTATACTACAGATTTTGTATTCTGTATTTGTCTGTATCGCTAATCCGAAGCAAAGTTAACTACTAAATTTAATTTAAGTTTAATCATTTTAAATGATTCATTTATGTGTTATTTTTTATGTAATATTTATATTATATTCTGGTTATTTCTCTGATCAATTGTTTTATACTGTATATTATAATCTAGTAGCATATAAAACAATATTAAACCATCTGCTAAACAATAAAATGGCAATATTTCACAACTCATTAAATTAATGAAATTGATTTATTTATCTTATTTAGAGAATTAACATGAAATACACTGTATGTATGCATAATATAAGTGCATTGTTATTATTCTTTAAAATCATTAAATATTTAAGAATTGGCAGATTATTTACAGAATAAAAATTTCTATTTTCTTCAATTAATTCTTATTTGATATACATTTACAAAACTTAAATAAGTGTTTTCAAAGAAAATAATAATAATTGCAAAATTATTTTAGTAATTATTTATTTACATAGTGTTGCTTACAATATAACCTCCCATTACTTCCGCATTACTGTTCAATCTGTGCGCCCAATATGTTATATACAGTGCACACAATTCGATGTAAATTCGCTTTTATTCAATAACACAACGGATGCGTCCAATTGCGGGACACTATTCACACAACTTCTTTGCTCACCTCAAACCATATCTTTCTTTTAACCATAATTAAAATTTTGTACTTAATTTCGAAAGATCATTGATAAAAAAGTTTATTTAAATATTTAACAGTTTAAAAAAGTTTAAATCCTTTTAATGATGTGTTGTAATTGCAATGATTGAAAAATGTTTGATTATTATTGTTATGTTAGTAGTTTGTCAACTGATAAACTAAAACATCACTGAGTAAATAATCTTAATCTTAAACAATTAAGCTGTTTATAAATTGATTGAATTAAAACCTTTTTCATAAAATAAAATTGATTTTCTGGTAAAATCTTATTAGACTTTAAACAATAAATATAATTCTATGAAATATTGTAATAATGATGTAAAACTCAAGTAATGCTTATACTTTCTGTCTATCGCACAGCGTAATATAAATGATAAATTACAATATAAATGATTGTACTTGAATGTTTTAGTCACTTATATAAACTTTATTGTCATTCAAATGTCTAATTATATGACATAAACATGTATATAAGAATTAGTTCATATCCATTAAATATTTCTTAACATATATAAAGATTTATGTTTTGAAATATTTAAATTTAAAGATAAAAACAATGCTAACAAAGGATATTCTTAAAAACCTAAATCTATAACTTATAAAGAAAACGTTTTGTATTGTTTTTGGGGATTTTATTCCAGTGTCCGCTTATATATTGTTTGGTTTTTTTGTAACAAATTTTTTTGATTGATATTCTATGTAATAAAATAGAAACAAAAAAACAGTGAAATGTATAAAGAAATGAAAAGTTGTGTTTGTTTTTGTGTAGGAGAATGTCATATTCGGCGACAATTCCGGTGCAGTGATGGCAAGTGTTTGGACCAAAGCAGTCGATGCGATGGCAGATATGACTGCACAGATGGCTCCGACGAATCTCACTGTTCGTTGTGCTCATCTCATCAATTCATGTGCTCTAATGGTTCGTGTATTGCCAGCTATAAGCGATGCGATGGCAGGAATGACTGCACCGACAGATCAGATGAGCACCAGTGCCCTAATCACGGTATCCATACACTTGTATTTCACTTCAAAATCCATATTTTTATTGTAACAAATATTTATCACTCAAATAGTTTGCACTGAACGCGAGTTTCGCTGTACAGACGGAACGTGTATTGATTATCACTTAAAATGCAATTCTCGCGCCGATTGTGTCGATGGAAGTGACGAACAATTGTGCGACAAATGCACTAATGATCAGTTCCGATGTCAGTCCGGACAATGTCTTCAGCTAAGTCTCCGCTGTAATGCTTAATACATTTTTCATATCATATTACCAAACATAACATCTTTTTAATTGCTAATCAATCGATACATTTGAATAGCAAATATTTTAAATACTATATTGTGATATCAATGATATAATCAAATAACAAAGAATGTAGTTCTGTATAATGACTAAAAATTTAACATTTATACCAATTATTAATAAAATGCTAATTTGATTATTGCAGGCGATCTTAAATATGATTGCAGTGATGGGAGCGATGAGTTTTATTGTCGTGAGTATCAAATTATACTTAAAAACAGACTTTACTTTCTATCTCTCGATAAATGATTTTCGCATTAAATATCTTTAACCCTAATGTAAAACAATTTGCATATATTTTATCAATTTATGCATTTTTGCTTGCATTTGACTTTTAATAATATGCTGCTTGTTATTGATACTAAATAATTGTGAAATTATACAAAATTCAATTAGTTTTGAGTTCTTTTTAAGTTAGAGTTATATTTAAAATATAGTGAAAACTATTTCAGCATAAAATATTGCATAAAATAATAAATTCAATACAAACTTATGATGTATTAATAGATTTTATTACTTTGACGATATATTATTTTTTAATTACTCGTAAAACTAATTTTTAATTACAATTCAATACAGTATAAAAATTCTAGTATATATTTAAGTTATGTTATTTTAACTTTATATTATTTTCAATAAATAGGCTTCAATTATTCTACTTTTATGCTTTTAATTAAATTAAATTTTTAAAATAGTTTTATAATCTCAAAGTAATTAATAAGTAGTTATCTCTAATAATTTAATGATTGTAATACTATTTATTTATTAATCAATTTATAATAATTAACTAAAATTACATTAAAATATCTAAGATTCTGTGAAATGCGAGACAAATCAATTCCGGTGTTCAAGTGGTCAATGTATTCACGAATCTCTTCGTTGTAACAAACGATATGATTGTACGGATAGATCAGATGAAGAGCAATGTATTCCTGGTAAGTTACACACATTTTTACAAAACAAATATTTTTTTGAATTTTTAACTGACAATAATTATTGTGAGATTGTTTTAAACTAGTCTACAATATACTATTCTGCAGTTATTTCTTATTTAAAATAAGTTTAATTAAAGATTGTGACATAAATTGCATAGAATTAACAATATTATTATATAATGTATAGCCGACTGTCATTCCGGACAATTTAAATGCTCTGATGGACAATGTATTGACGACAATCTTCGTTGTAATAATAAATATGATTGTATGTATCGATTATTTTATTATTTTATCAATAAATAAATGGTATAATTAATATAAAACAGGCGCAGATTCTTCGGATGAGAGCAATTGCGAGGGTATTTATAACAATATGTTAAATACGGTGTTTCACTAATTGATGCATATATTAAAATTATTAGTTGCAGTTAAATACTGTCGACAAACAGAATTTAAATGTGGAAACGGAGAGTGCATTGAATTGTCCAAAAAGTGTGATAATACTAAAGATTGTTTAGATGGAACCGATGAGACCAACTGCCAAATAGGTAATCATTGATACACAGCATAAGTAACTTATATAACAGATTATCAGTAATTTGTGAAATATTTGTATATTTAATTATCTTAAACTAAATGCTTGTTAACAAATAATAACTTCTTTATTCATATAATTATCGCAAACCTATGCTTAGAGTTGTGTTCAGTGCATGAATTTGAGTGCGAAGTGGACGGGAAATGTATATCCGGGTCATTAAGGTGTGTGTGCTTTGCTTTTATATATGATTTTCAGATAATTAAACTGAATATAAATTATTAAATTCTCGCTTAAGATGTGACTCCTATTATGATTGTTCCGACTATTCGGACGAACAAAACTGTGGTATTAATCACTTTACTATACGTTTATCACCAAAAATAATACGTTTTCTATTGCTTTTGCATTAACGCACATAAGAGACACGATTGTGTCGTTTATCGCAATTCAAATGTGGGACCGGATTATGCATAGATAGGGCGCTTGTATGCAATGGTGTGGCCGACTGTCCGGATCGTAAAGACGAAATGGACTGCTGTATTGCATTTTGCTTTCATACATGTATATAATTACTTCTATTCTATAACATTGATTTGTTGTTTAGGGATTTGTCTGTCGGGTCAGTACATCTGTGCGAACGGGCAGTGCATTGATATGAGTAGAAGATGTGATGGTATCGCTAATTGTAATGACAATTCCGATGAAATGGATTGCATTACAAACGACATTAATATTCAAGTCTATCCCGAGAGACAAAACATACGTCAGGGACAGGAAGTAGTGTTCAGGTGTCGCGAGGAAAGCGAGAAAAGATTACCCGTTCAGTGGGGACGACCTGATGGACAACCGCTTCCCTATGGATCAACTGACGTGAGAGGAAGGCTTACAATACCTAATATACAGCCACAACAAAGTGGTGTATATATATGTTCGACAATCGCTAGTCCTTTAGGCTCAAGAGGGGCTCAAAGGGCAGCCGTCCTAACAGTGCAACCCTGTAAGTAGTTATATATTTTATTGTATAAATTACTTTACTATACCATATAGTAATATATTAAACATAAATTGATTACACATTTATGTTAAGTGAAAGCTTTTTAAATGCAGTGCATAATAAACTCGAGCCTGAATCTGACTTTTTATATAAATTGAATTCATTATAAAATGTCATTTCAATAATCATATAAGTAATGCATGCCATAAATGAACGAAACAAAAAGCCATACATCTCTTCATTCAATGCAAACGACAGTTTGAGTGTATTTATGAATTATGGGTCGGCTTCACAAACGTACGTAACATTAAGTTGTTTATAATGTATACCCATTCTAACACTCAACTGTACACTTTAGTTAGTCAAGAATCGATACAATATTTTACATTTACTAATAATTTTGAGAGATTTTTAAAATAAAAATATATAAAATAAGAAAAACAGATTATATAAACTTATAAATTATAAAAAATTGAATTATATTAGAACATGAACCGTTAGTACTGTATTAAGATTCTAAAATTTATAATTATTATACTATCGAAAATATACAAATATGCCGGTATACAAAAATCATATGTAAAGAATCTTTATAAGAATTGATATACTGTATATTGATAATAGAATATTCATGGTCTACCGTTAGTGAATTATTATATAAAAATTAAACCTAACTCAATTTTAAAAGTACGTACTTATGAACAGTACTCGCAATGAATTTTCATTTGTTTTCAAATAAATCTTAATTCATTCAAACAATTCCATAATTGCACAGAATATTCATAAAAGACATTTTTGCAATTTATTATAAAATCCAAATAAAACTGCTTTTACACTAAATTAATAACATTTCATTTGTTAATTGCTTTTCTAAATGCTTTACTAATTAATAGAATTAACTCTTTTAGCGCTTTCTTATGAGAATTTGATATATTATTT